CTCCCCACCCCCACCCCCTTGGTCATCCTTATTTCTGAGCTATGTACTAATGGTTTCTAGTATATGACCATGAGATGTGAACTTTTACTTCAGATATATTTCTCATTTGATGGAAGCCTTCTTTTGTTCCTTGTAAAACTCTTAGTTAACAAGTTATGAATATGCCTTTTTCTTTATCTCACATATTTGTTTCTCTTAACTCTCTGACTTAAATAATAGAACTCCTAATGTTGCATTATTCTTACATATCTGTTTTAATTACTTTAAGTCTTTTTAATGGTACTGGGGATACAGCTTAGCAGTAGAGTGCCTGTCAAACATGCACGAGACCCTGGGTTTGATTCCCAGCACCACACACACACACATAAAAAAAATTAAATTTATTTTGTAGAGAGGCAGAAGATAAATTAGAGCAGAGCCAGAAAATGGTGATTGAAAAGGAACACAGTTTGCAAGAGTCCAAAGAGGAATGTATAAAGTTGAAGGTAGACTTACTTGAACAAAGTAAACAAGGAAAAAGGTAAGTGTTCAGAAAGCGAGGTACTTTCACATGAATTTGTTTATATATGGGGGGAAAAAGCCAATAAAGAAAGGACTGAAAATCAGAGAGTAGAGGGAAGTTCCTTTGTGGGAAGAGTAAAGATTCAGAGTATAGATTGAGTAATTCATCTTGGATGAGAGGAAGGTCGTGCATTTATTTACACTAGAAAGAATGTGATGTGAGTAGGTTTAAATATATAAAATGTTTTAGGTATGGGGGTTATATTGATCAAGTTCCAGCTCAGTATTCTTAGTTAAATTTGAGAAATATGAGGAAAGGTGATGGTTAACTTAGAGATGAAATAGCAAAGTGAGGCTTAAGCAGTGCTTGGTGATAGTTGGATTTTATTTTTGTTGTTTTTGTTTAGAGTTTTATATCTTATAACAGTGGAGGTTACTATTTATTAAAATACCTTTTAGAAATTTATTTGAACAAGTCACAGAATTTATTTGGTGCTTTTAATATTTTAACAGTGTAGTAGTTCTGTAATACCTAACAATTGAAAATTTACCATCTAACACACTACTTCTCTAATCTGTCTTTTCCAGCTTAGGAGGAAATATTGCCAATATACAGGAATTTATGTATATTTTAGAGTTTGTTTTATGTTATACTTTATTTTTTATGTTGATAGGGTATGAAAATGTCATAGATAGTCTTCATTCTTCATTTTACAGATTAAGCCTAATAATCTGTTTTACTATTAAAGAAACTTCTAATTATTACTTGTAATTAAATAAAAATTA